CAGGTTGGTCTGGTGATGCAGCGCCTAATAGCCGACGTATTGGTTACATTCAATGTAAATAATTCATAATAAAAACCTGACACAACTTCAATATTAGTTATGATATAGAAATGCATCCATGTGCGTACCAGACGTCGGCATTGGGGTGGATCTACGACTTTAAAGACCGCATAACCAGTTTTTGATAACAAGGCTGGCCAAACATGTATCCTTCTACTTTAAAGGGTATTTTAACATGAAGGCTCAACTAGGCTTGTTTTGGAAAAGCGCATTTGCAGGAACAACAGAACTCAGTTCCCGCGCTCAGAGGTTTTGTTGCGGCTTGGTTTGTGGGTAACGTTGCGGATTAAATACATCTGACAAAACAAACCAAAACCCCTCGTCCGTGTGAACAAGCCGTGGAAGAATATAGATCCATACCTATGTCTCTCCTGATTATTTACCTCGCATCCCTTACATACTTTAAAAAGGTACCTTATAGGTCATCAATGTGCGGCAGTGGCTCAGTCAGTAGGGGCTTGGACTGTGAGCCGTAGGGTCTCCGGTTCAAGTCCCCGCCCAGACCTAAAAGTGGAGTGTGGACTGCTACTTGGAGAGGTTCCAGTTCACCTCCTGCCCTGCCGTGGTGCCCTTGAGCAAGTCACCGGACAACCCCCCTTCCCCCATTGCTCCCCGGGCGCTGTACAATAGCTGCCCACTGCTCCTAGTACTAGACTCCTGGCTCTAGGATGGGTTAAAAGCAGAGAACACATGTCACTGTGTGCTGTGTGACCATTAAAGAGGGTTTCATCCCTCCCATTCTATTCTATTCTATTTCCACAATAATATTAGGTTTTGAAAAGTTCGGAAATCTTGCTTCATTTTGTTGACAGGGTTAAAGAGGGGATTTTTGCCATCTATTAAAAACTACACTTTGACCTTGTTATTGGGAATACAATGGTATATAAATCTGGCTATAAGTGATAGACAAACAGGCCGCTGTGTAAGAACCTGCTGAATAAAGATAGTTCCTTCCTCCTCGCTCCCGAGGCCTCTGAACGCAGCGGCCGTTATTAATGGTCTCTGAAGAAGAGGAGGAGGTGTTGGGAGTATTCTTCGTCTGGCTCTCTATTGATGAGGTGTACAGCTGCACCCCCCCCCCGCCCCACCCCTACAATCCCTAAGTAAACTTGTCAGCTCTGATGCATTGCCTGCACACGCTCAAATGGAAATCACGCAGCAGCAGAGCTTTATCTCAAAGCAAACAAGAGCGAAACATCCCGAGTCTACAGAGAACGGAGGGGTTCTGATTAAAGGCGGTGTGTTAAAGAGCTTCTGCAGAATTAACTTAATGCAAAGAGAACAGGAATTGCACAGGGCGAGGCTTATATACCCAGGTTTCAGCCAACGTTTAAATAGTTTTAACTTTAGGGAAGGGAAGATTAGCGACAAGCAGTGGTAGGAAGTATGCATATTTACTCAAGAACGTACTTAACTACAATTTGTAGGTATTTACTTCCATATTATGCTACTTTATACGTCTACTTCATTAGTTTTGGGTGTTTTTCTAATAAATTATGATGTATAAATATGGATTAAGACACCTGGGAGAATACAAAAGTTGGCTCCACTTTTACTTTCTGCAAAATTCAAATGATTTACATTTTAATGCACCACTTATAATCCAGTAAAATATATGTTATTCTGAAAAATGGCCACTTTGATCATGAGTTTTTGGTACTTTTCGTGTATTAATGTTGATATGATAGCCCAGCACAAGTTCAAGCAGGAAGACTATCTCTACATCATTGGTGTTCTCTCTTATCCAATCACAGTTCACCACAATATCCAGCAGCCAATCACCGTGCTGCAGTCAAACTTTCAAATGTTCTCCTAAATAAATGTTCTTCAAGCTTAAAAAGTCTCTCCTGATTGAACCATTTTACATCTTAAACTTAAATGATGTTACAAACATACTTATTTAAAGCCAAACTATGATTTTCTTTTAAGAAGAAGGAGAAGAAGAAGTTTTAATTTCTATTAAAAATAAGCTTTTTTGATTGAACATCCTTCATATGTAGTGGAGCACAAATGCAATATTTGTCTATAAAGTTGATTTCTTTTTAATTATTTCCAACAGGCAGCATGGTGACATCATTACACCAACGAGAATTGAAACTCAGACACCAAAGGCGGGAGGTTTAAATTATGCATAACACACAAAAACCCACATGAATGCTGCCCTGTGGAGATTTCTTGTAAACAAACAAAAAATGATGTTTACATCAACAAAAGCCACTGAGTGGATCTGACAAACCTGCTGGGTGATTCCTGAATCGAGACATTTGTAAACCAGATTTTGTGAATATGTTATTTTTGATTTACATCCTTAATATTATTCATTTCTCCCTCGACTTATTCAGCACGTTGCCATTATGTTCTAGATTCATTATTGGGTCGATACAAAGTGAGGAATAAGTGAGAAATGTCAAAAACAGTCTTAAAATAAAAATGGTGTCAGTCCAAAATCTAAAGATATTACTTTAATGTCTTACAAAAAACTAAGAAAATCGGGAAATCTCCATATTTAAGAAGCAGTAACAATTATGTATTTGTTTTTGCGCAGAAAATTATACAGTCAGTTTGATTCGTTGCAGTATTATTTTTTTTGAAAGAGTCTCCATAAGTACTATAAACTAAATGTGTCTTTGTGTCCAAGGCTGTCGAGATCAGAAAATTAAGGGTAGGTAAGAATGGAGAAACCAGCTCGAGTGCACTTTGAAAATACACAACCGGAACAAATCTGCCCCTTCCTTCAGACTTCCTCACAGAGCCCCTCCTCCAACACACACGAACGTGCACATGACCAATGAGGGCAAAAGATAAGTTTGTGGGCTGCAATTATAAGGGCTGCAATTATTTTTATTTTTATTCATAGAGTCCAGGAAGATGTCTGATAAATTGGCAAGAAAACAACTAAAATATGTATTATATAAAATGTAATCTTTTTTGTTGAACACTTATCAAGGAGGTCACTAAGCGTTGCAGAGCTACAAAAGTTGAAGAGTTCATTCATGGATTTTTAACTGACAAAAACAAATAAAAGTAAATAATACAGGTTATAATAATAATAATAATCTCACACATTTCTTACATTTCTCCATCCTTTTTTTTTTTGTTCAGCAGCGTTTTTATCGTTTTGATGCCATTGAACACAACTTTTGATCAGAAACAGCAAAAGGTAAGACAAATTGGCCGTGTTTGCTCCGTAAAGCTCTGTGTTGTGATGTATGTGTTTGCTTCCCCTGTCGCGAGTTCTAATCGCTCAGTGATGATACTTATATTTCTGGAATCTGTGGAATCTCAGCTTGCTAATCGATACCTTGTCTGTGCAGATCCGATATGTCATAAGGGTATGTATACCTAGAGTTCTGTGCTAAGTGTGATAGCATTTTTTCGCCCAGGGCTCATTTAGACACTTCTTGTGAGACTTGTGTTTTGGTTGGTATCGTCAGTTAGCTGAGTTTCTTCCCCTTAAGTGGGTATGACACATTAATAGGTTTTTAAATGTTAAGAAGCCCTGAGACACAGTTTATTTTTGTATTAACCTGTTCAACCCGGAGGCCACCGCATTCTTACATGTTTCCCACCCTTTTTATTTTGTTACCTTTGTTTTTTTTAAGTGTTATTTTTCTGCACGATTATTTATTTATATATTTATCTATTTCAGAAACAAAGTAACTGCAAGGTCTCACCCAGTGACTATCTTTAAGTTTGAAGTGGTGAGTGAATGATAATACTATAAGTGATTGATTGATGTCATAATGACCGTGCATTAGGAGAGCTTCACCAATGCAACATGAGCTATTAGTGAAATCTTAATTAAACGATAACTGACCGAGGGGTGAGTTCTTTTTTATTTACCGCTATTTGTTACATAAAAAGTCATTAAATAAAAATGTCCAGATGTCAGAAGTGTCTGCTCTCATTCAGCCTGTGATCGCCAGTAAACACACCGCCAGAACAGATCGATCAAAATGTAGTTGGTGGAGCCTCGGCTGCACTCA